CATAATATAAATATAATATGTAAGATAAAAAATATAAAAGCAAACTGCTAAATTTAATTCACTATAACCTCTTTTATTTTATTTGGGAACATCTATCTGTCCTAAAAATAGCTCTTAAGTCATTCAAATTAATCATGCAATCTTACGTAACCCTTAATGGAGATGCCTCTTGACCAATCATCAAATTGTAAACCAAAACTAAAAACTGAATCTCTCTCTTCTTTCTATGAATTAATGCGTCACTTTTGCTTATGTTCTCCTGTTGGCTAGACGTCTTTCTGCAATTATGTGTGTGCTGCTACTTTCGCTTCTATGGGAATAATATCAAAATTGAAAATGTTCTTTAATAGGCACGAGTAGAGTGCCAAGTGAGTTGTAGCCACAAGTGAATTAAAATAAATAAAAGGAATTTAATCCGTCTCGATTGCTTATTCTTCAACATAGATGGAGCTTCACGTATCTACGAAACTAGTATTTTCTACGCATCTACGTCTCAGTGTTCTTATTTCAGTGCCTCTAAAAGTGTTCTGTCATTACATTGTTCGGCCAGTTCTAATTATGAAGAAATCTACATGGGTTTTTTTATTCTGTGTTTGTTCACAGTGAATCATGGGAAATGTCCTGTTTCACCGAAACTTTTAATGCAAGTTTGTGCCGCATTCATAATCAAATCTTTCATGTCCTGTCACCCAACCAGTTTCATTACATATGTATATATACTATTCTCTAACATTAAAATTTATTATTGCAACTAACGTGTTGAAGACGATTTGCGTTTAATGAACTTCATTGATTAATCTTGCATGGGAAATGCCATACTGCTTCTTCTTCAACCAACGCTTGTCTTTGGCAAGCCGGCTATGTAACTCCGCGCCATCCAGTATAACCTTGTCCATCCTTCTAGTAAGTCTTCTCGAGTTTCCACCTCCACAGCGTTGCAGGTGGGGAGATGATCAGCGATTAAGCAGAAGCACCTGGGTCGACACGTCATTAAAATTGCCAGACACGGCACTGACCTTTGCGCAGTCGAATAATTAGTGCAAGGCCTGCATGGCTTTTGAGAAATGTCTCCTCAGATAACGCAAATATAGCGCTGAACAAGCAAACTCTACCAACAGTAAGTCAAACATGCCAAGTATACCACGTATGTGTACATGTACTGTATATCCGAAGCGTGCCGCAACATTTCAGCAGTACTGATCAAAATTCAAGCAATGTAAATAACTTAAGAACCATTATATAAAATAGCTCCTGCACATCAGCAAGTATGCGCGAACATCTCCACTAATTTAACAGTGAATATTAATATGGATGACGTGTCAGACAAAGAAAGTACACAGCTGACTTCAGGCTCTGTCTAGACCTGAATTGCAAGTGTAATGCTACCCAATGCCCATCCCCATAAGTGGCTGCACAAACCTAACTGCTTTAAATACGTGTATTTAAATGTAAATGTCGCATCGGATGTACTGAACAGTCAAAGGACAATATCTTAGAATATGTATGCAAAAGCATATGTACAGTACAATCCTGCGCATACCGCAGTGACATAGCAAGATGCGCCTATGAACAGTAGAAATGTATATTTACATGCCCCGGCATGTCAGACATCCTAAGCTCATTTGCATAACTGCCAGAGCAATTATATTGCTCAATATGTATCAAAATCTAATGTCACATTGGACATAATAAAAACACTGCTGAATCCGAACACTGCACAAACTGTAAATGTAATACCACGTAACGCAAGTGTAACGTCATTTCTGAATAGTAATGTAAAGTCATATGTTGTATCGAATTACGTAACATAATATAGAAAATACTTACAGTACCGCATTATATGCAAACGCTGTCATAAATAAGTATCTATGTGTCTGTACAAAAATCAAACAGGTGCAGCAGGATCTCAGATGTAGCTGCCTTGAGCACATATAATGTCTATATATCAGGTCTGCCTGTACGCTATCCTAAAGCTCAATCACATAAATGCAAGAGCAAATATAGTGTAATAAATATTCTATATGCAATGTTCTATATACAATGTATTTACAGAGTTGAATCTGCATAATGTAATTCGTAAATGTAAAGTCAATAATGGTAATGTAATACCACTATTATCTCATATCTCATATATAATGTAAATGCCGTATTGCATAGTGTATATATAAGACATGCAATGTCATAATTATGTAAATATGTATATGCACAGCACTATTTATACGTGCACTGAAGTAATTTAGTTGCAACCGCCTTCTGCACACATGTAGTGCATATGTACTAGCCCTGCATGAAAGCTCCCCAAGTTCATTTGCGTAATTACAGGAATAATTATTATGTTCTATACGTACCTATATGCAATCTCTAGCCAACTTTAGATAAGGGTGGACGTGGTGCTGTACTGATTAATCTTTACGGCAAAGGGACAGTGCCCACGTCCACCGACACTTATCACTTATCCCCTTCTCGTGAATACCCTTCTTTTACAACAGAATAAATTTCATACTATTTTAAAAGAAGTATGGAATCAACATAGATCTCCTTTCAAAGGGCAACCGTATGATCCTGCACTTGTTAACATTCAGAATGCAGACAGTATGATGTAGGTCCCTTCTCGTGAGTTGTACAGTGGGCATATGGGGAAGCTGACAATGCCTATTTTATGGAGATCGCTCTGGAAGTAGTCGTGGCCTGTGTTCAGTCTGAAAGATGGCCACAGTGACGTCTTAGCCTAGGTTGTTGGGGTGGATCTTGGTATTACAGTAGAGTCCCGCAAACACGACTCCCGATATCTCTCATTCCGTATAACTTGACAACTTTTTAGGAAATGTTTTACGTTATGTTTAGGACAAACAGAGGAAATATTACAAAATACAGTACATATAATTATTATTTATGTGTATGCCTTTCTTGTTCTGAGTACAATTAAACGTGAGTAGTTTTATAATAAAAATGTTTAATATTTTTATTACAACAAAAACTCTGAAACACTCTTGCAATGATCTTCTAGTAAAGGCTTCATGGCCGAGTGAATAAATCCATTGAATACGTAATAGCTCAATATATTTGGTAGGATTTGCTCAAATCTACCAAACGAGAGTTCACCAGAGGCCGAGCGGTAAAGTCGCTAAACACTGGTAATTCTACCCGGGTTCAAATCTCGACAAACAGGCTGACGGCATGGATATTTTCGTGGTTTTCACCATGTGTAACGCGTATACGAGCCCGGTTTCCTTAAATTTAAAAAGTCCTGCACGAAGGCATACCTCCCTTTAGGCAGATAGCCCTCGAGTGTTTTCCCATAATTAAATAAACCAAACCAAACGGTTGTGTTGTAGGTGTGCTTTCTTGTTTTTGCTCACGCGTAACGTGAACACAAGCTAGTTTCACTTAGAAATGTCTCCACGAAAATTCTCACTTATTTTGTCTTAATCAATTGACCAAACAAAAATGAAAAATTTATTTCATTATTAACTTTCGTCATTAAGTATTTGATTATTAAAAACTGTTTCATTATTTAATAAGTTTTATATTTCGGTCGAGTATTTAACATTTGAATTTGTGAGAATGTAAACTCAGTATCTCGTATTTTATTTAACTTTCAGATTGCTTAATATTTATATTAGTGCGTCAGATTTATATAAGGTATCAAATGATACACCATTACAAGGTGATAAAAATTATATTACCTTGAAGCAAAAAAGTATAAATTTCTTCTGTAGTTCACTTCTATCAAATTTACGATTACAAAAAAATAACGGAAAAGTTACATAAAATTCTTGCCATCAACATCTGCAACAGTACCTCAAGTTGGAAGTTCTAATACTATGATTGACTTTTGTTTGAATCTCGATTTTCAGTAATATTTCTTTGTAAATTTCAGTCGATGGCAACACATGAGTATTTATTTTTATTCAGTGCCCCGAAACAGAAATTTTTCGTTTCTTTGCCAGTACTGAACTAATGAACAGAGATCTCATCAATACCATGCCAAAAACACGAATTCTGCATTTTTTGGTTTCAATTTTTTAACTTTGTGGAGAAAAAAATATAAATATTTTCTTACAGAAATATAACTAAATTATTATATTAAAATCATAACTCAAATTTTTCCATCATTTCACCTGTCACAGTATGAGCATGATGTAAGACTACCTGTCATAATAATAGATTTAGTAGGTATATAGTACACGCTTACAGTAGTTACAGTAGGTATACGCTTTGGATAGCAAAAAGCATAGGTTTTGGGCTTTTAATAAATGGTCAGGTGGCGTTTCTGAAACTGTTCTAAACTTATTCAACATTTGTTAACGTAACAGCAAGGAAAATTAAATGTTTAACTTCAGTTTATGGAAAGCTGTAACAAATATTAATATTTCTTTTTAGAAATTTTTAAAAACATGTGTCTCACAGACGGCAGTCATCTGTGCACAACTAAAGTTCATATGAGATGCAAATAACAGTTAAAACTTTCATTAGTATTTGCTATGTTAAAATTTTGTGAAATTTTTATCTTAATCATTAACCGGAATAATTTTAAATGCCGAGAAAGATATGATTATGATTTCTCCTAAATATTTTGTCAATATGCTAAAAAAAGTGGTGCAAACGTAATCATCATATTTTTAATAAAATAAAATACTTAGGGATATTCCCTATACGGATGCATTGAAAAATGTCTCGTATTTTAAACTTGCTTTTCTTGAAGCAGTCATTTTACAGATTCGTGGTTTTGGCTTTGTGTTGACCATAGGGTTATTACATTGTCCGGTCTTTCAAGCAGTTTCTCTCAGTGAACTCAAATTTAGTTCTTTATGGAATATAAGCAATTTAGAATGATCCTAAAATGGAAAAACTTTGAGCATCATGCAAAATCGGTGACTCCAAAATTATTTTGCAATTATTTATGTGGTTCATCGCAATCGTTATGGAGCCTTAATTGCATAAAGAGAAAACTATATTGAATAATACATTCAAAATATAGAAAGAGCATTCTTACTTACCGCCTACGTCCGGAGTTGACCGGGAACAGCGAAACTCGTCAGATTGCAGGCAATAAGTGAATGTGTTGATGTTGACATAAACTCTCCATCTCGAAAGGAGGCGGGAACGAGCGTTTTTCATTTCTAACGTGTTCCACTTCTGGGTCTGTGGGTCGAGGACCCTTCAATAGAAGTTCCACCGCAGAGCTGTGGCAACAAACCCAAGATCAAGGCCATCAGGTCATTGTCCTGGGAAACGACCATACTCTCCAGAGTTGCCGACTGTCTCAGTAGGATGCCGGTAAAAATAATCAAGTAATTTCGCCATAGCAGAACTATGTTTCGTACTTTGATGAGAGTTTTTTGGGGTTTATTTATTTATATACAGGGAAAATGTCAAGGTAGCAAAAAACATAAAAAATGCAAAGGATGTTGTTGAGCTATTTTAAAGTCATAATGCTGTAGCTATAAGCTAAAAGTTACTCTCTTTTGGCCTGGCTTCGTGTTTTAGTTATTTATGGGGTTCTTATGATTTGAGGTTGATGAATTTCTCATTTCAAGAGCTATTTAAAAGTTAATACGTTTAAATGTTACGCATAATATAATATTAAGAAGAGGACAAATTCTACTTTTTCTCGAACTCGAATCCAAATCCTAAAATGTTCGTGAATTTCTCAGTATCTTCATATAAGCATATAATAATAATAACCAGGAGAGCTATTAGATTTAGTTATAAGCTTTTAACTAACACAAATTTCAAATCTGTGTATAATGAAAAATTTTTTCCTTTTTATCTAATATACCAAAAATATTTTATACTTAATTAAAATTTCTAAGCTTTCTAAGAATTTTGATGAATCGAAGCAAATACGTAGGAGGTAAGGATTATTTTAAGAGTTAAAGTAGATAAATACTGAACGCAGTACTCTAAATTTTCTCCAGAAAATGAGCAGTGTAGCTCTCAGAGTCGCCACAAGATGTTACTGGTAATCCAGGTTAACTAAAATTTCAACAATCGTATTCTTCTCTCCCCCCCTCCCAAAAATAGCCTCACCAGTGGCCGAGTGGTTAAAGACTTCTGAATACTGGTAGTTCAACCTGGGTTCCAATACTAGTAAGTGGGTGGACGGCATGTTTAGTTTTCGAGGTTTTTTCCACTTGTGACGTGAATACGATCCAAATGCCTTTAGAAAGTCCTCAACCAAGGCATCTGCTCCCTTAGGTAGATAGCCCTCGTGTGCTTTGCCTTATTCAGGTAACCTAACCTAACAATTAATGCTTGTGTTAGACTTTAATAAAAATGCCAATAACTAATCTTTCCAAAGTTTTAAATTGAATGAAAAGCTAAAAAATAAGGAAGTGAACAGTGAAAATCAATAATAAAACGCTAAAATAATTATGTCTTAAATGTGTCACTTGTATTACTAATATTATAAATCGGAACTACTCTGATATGCGCTCTCAAGTCGCCAAATTTCTCGCCAAACATTTTTGGTGAGAAACTCTACGCTGCCATATTACTATTTAAATTTTTTGTCTACATTTCGAACTTAAAGCCTAATATGTCTCCAAAAACGCGGTTTTCGCATATGCAAAAACCACGTTTTGAACACACAATTTAAGCTAAAAATCTGAAACAAAAACAAAAAATTTAGATATCAAAAACGTAAAGTTTCTAACCAAAAATATTTGACAAAAATCCATGTACACAGCGATATGTTTTAACTTAAAAAAACATCTACGAATTGCAAAAATATAACCAGCAAAGAGATCTACGAACTACGCACACCTCGCTTTAATAAATTAACATAACAACAATGAATTTCAAAGAATACCATGTACACAGCATCCTGTTTAAACTTTAAAAAATATCTTCGAATTGCACAATTTAGGCAACGAACGAATCTACGAACTCCTCACACTTCGCTTTAATAAATTAACATAATAACAATAAGTTTCAAAGAATACCATGCACACAGCGTTCTGTTTCAACTTTAAAAAACATCTAAGAATTGCACAATCTAGACACTGCGCACTAATTAACAAAATAAACAAAAATAACTAAAATGAATTTCAAACAATTAAAGAAAAACAACAACAACTACAGAAATTCATACTAAAAACAATGACTATAACATTCTACAAAATAAGAACAGGAATAAAATAAAATGCACTTACCATGAATTAATGCTTTTTCGAACAGCAGAAATACCAATTTCATACCGCCTTTAACATGCCGCCACGTAATCACTATCGTATTTATATGACAGCCAGACACACTTTCCAGAAAATTCATGCTATGGTTCACAAATAAAAAAAAATCACAAATAATCACAAATCCCTACTTCTATCATGCACAGCCACTACAAATAATCTCCCAGACCCTCTTTCCACTCCTCCAAACACCCACTGCCTGTCAACAGGATGACCACAATGATATTTCTTTTTGCCGAAATTCAATTCAACAACTTCCACCATTTTATCTTTCCCCCTATCTTCTCAGACACAGACACGAACCAACGAGCTCCAGCGAAAGATTTTTCAACGTCAACAGGGTTGCCATACAATACGCAATCGCGCCAAAAACCAGCGCAGAACACATATCGCCACATTTGCTGAAATTAAGGCGTATATCAGAGTTGTACCTATAAAATAAAGTATATATAGCACTTTGTCCTTTAGCTAGGGCCGCCCCGCCGGTATAGTGGTTAGCGACCCTTATTGCCGTAACGATGGGTCTGGGTTTGAATCCCGGAGAAGCCAGGATTGTAACAATTCGTCCCTTCATAGGAAGCAATGATGGCCACCTTGCAGTGGCATAAGGCTAATGGCAATTAAATAAAGCGGCCGTCCGTTAAAATAATCCTTTATCTAGGAAATATACTATCACTATTACTTTTCCAAAACTACACCAGAACAGCGCTATCTTCTGATAACTGAAGGTATGGAACTATAAACCCACAACTGCGATAAATTTTACTGTCTTCACTTTTAAAATCTGCTAAAAAATTATCATAAATATTATTAAAAGCACTGCCCCATAACATATTGTTTTATATATTGAGCAGTTGGAATTTCAAAGCAAACAAAATACGGTTTACCAATTGCTAAGAAACACTAGTGCTAAAGCTTATAATGCAAAAATTCGAATAGAAGAGATTTTCAAGACATCACCAAAGTTTCTACAGAGTTTGGCAAAAGCGTTTAACATATAAAATAATTAAATTCAATTTTCCTGATTTTATCATTAAATTAATTGCACCTTATCTTCCTGATAGACTCTTTTATATTGACAATATTATTCTGCTAGGAGAAGAATTTTTGTGTTCTCAAGATTCTTTATTCACTCTGCATTTATCCTATATTTTGTATTTATTCTATATTTATGCAACTGATGTCTCTCGTTACTATACATCCAATTACATTTGCTTGTTGATGATACAACTATCTACAGTCAAGCTACAAATATGATTCAAAATCGATTACAAAATTATCTGAACAGTCTTGAAAATTGCTTTCTTCATTGGAGAAAAAATCAATACCCAGGAATTAACTACAATAATTTAATTTTTTAGCACTGGCATAACCTAAAAAAAAAAAAAAAATAAGACAACATTGTAACATTGTGCTGTTTGAACAAGATATAGATTTTACAACATACCTGGGCATTACTATAAGTAGCAGTTTTCTTTCAGAGAACATTGTTAAAACTTCAACAATTCGGTTTTTTATTAATCTAAGGCCTTTATTAGTTAGATAAAGCAGACTTTCAGTATAAAACAAGGTAATCTTATACAAAACAATTTTAAGATCTGCATTACTACATGCAGTATCTATATGTAAACTGCAGCAAAAATAAACTTCAGAAGATTAATTTAATACATTGTCCTCGGTACATTAAAAATAAAGAAGTGCACCGTGGCTCAAATCTGCGTTGTCGCATAATTTATTTAAAATGCAACTTTTATTGTAAGTATCGGTATTTTGGGGATTTTAAATAAAATTTAGTGTGTCTTTTTTAATGATGTATAACGTGAAGTGGAAAGAATTCATAACAGCAATAAAGGAATTAATATTTTAGCTCAAAATGTATTCTTCAGAAATACTGATTGTAGGAACAAAAATTAGTATAAATTAAATAGTATGCTGACTTATTTAGTATAGATGAACACGAAAGAAATCAACTCATATTTTGTGAATAATAGAAAACATTTTGTTGCGCCAAATTCTCAAATTAGATAATTAAACTTTCAGATTTTTCGATTTTTGCTTCTTTGTAGGAAGTAAAAAAAACATTGTAATCAAGAAACATTTCGAGTATCATATTTCAATGAAAGTATCCATTTTGATCGGTTTCAAATCCATTCATACAAGTTATTGCGTGATATCTATACGTACGGACAGAATAACGGATAAATTTTTTTCCAAAATGGATTGCAGAATGCGGCTTTTTCGTGAAGTCTGTACGTGCGTACGTACGTACATACGTATCTATCTCGCTCAATTCAAAAACGATTAGCCGTATAGCTTTGAATTTTGTATATGGAACTGATATAATATCTAGTTGTGCACTTCCTCTTTCCTTTAAAGGGATTTGATTTTGTTGTTCTTATGTTCTGGTAAAGGTTTCTATATCTTTAGTTAATCAGCATGCAGTAGTTGTAGAATTTACAACAACTTATAATGCGTACGTTTTTGCTCAGCCTAACGGTGTCAGCTATTCGTTATGTTTAAACTCTTAGTACTACAGTGAATTAAGTCAGTTGGATCACCAACTTCAGTGCGTTTTTGAATCAGTAAATGCCATTGCTTTGTATTTCTCAGTAACTAGCCCTTATTTGCTTTTGAACATCTGTAAATGAACTCCCGATGCAGTGCTTTTGGAGCACAGGATCTGCTCGTCCGGACAGTACCGAAATAGTGTATGTAGGACGCTCGGGTGTCCTGACTTACTTTCACCTGACACCTGCCCAGTAGGACTAAAAGTTGACTTTAAATTTTTGTGCACCGAAAATTTTATCTTCTTGCCCGTTGAACAATTGCTTGATTTTTAGGTCCTACAAGGAAGTTATGTAGTGTCCACATCAGATTTTTAAGACTTAATCTCCTGTGTTATTTCGCAGAGATAGAAATTTGATAAAAGTAGAGGAAAAATAAACAAGAACTTTGGCTGCCATTAAAAGGGAACATAGTATTTTCATTTGGATGTTTCAGCAAGAAATTAATATATACGATTT